GATTCGTAAGCAAATCAATCTCCATGTCCTCCATGTTTTCCCCCTCATCAGGCAGGATCCCTGCCTCACCTTCTTCCGCCGGGGCACTTACGGGAGCATAGGTATCGTCAGCAATCATCTCTTCGTCTTCTTCATTTAAAGGACCAACACCACCTTCCATGACTTCATCTTCAGGACCATTCCCATCATCAACACCTTCGGGTTCATACAAGACAGGCCGTTCTGGGTCTTTACCATCAAGAACCAAAGACTGCGCAACAGCGAGGCCTTCGACAGTTCCCACCTCGCACGCTCCATCAACGATTCTTCCGGTCGGAAATACGTCAATCTCCGTACTACCAAAAGGGGCCGCGAAGATCCCTCCACCTCGTGCGTTCACGGGTCCTAAGTAAACAGCCTTGACTGTTTTCGCTCCCCGGTATTTAGCAAGATGCGCCTTCGACTTGCTAACTTTCGCCTGAACCACACAACCAAAGGGAAGCGTTCTAGTTCGGTGAACTATTTCCTCGTGCAGCAAATCAATGCTGGTGGTGGAGTCACCGTGGCTCGAGGACCACAGATTGTAACACCTCGACACATAGAACACACAGGCTTGCCACAAGAGACCCCCTAAGGGAAGCTGGTACTTTCCCAGCTCTGCATCTTGACCAGGGAACTTCTTTAGAGCAATTTGGCGCTCCAAGTCCAACCACACAGCCCAGAAGCCTTGGCGTACCGATTCAACTTGTCGTTCTATCGAGCCTTTGGCTTGTGGCCTATATCCTGGAACCACATCAACAATGGTTGCGCTGTGGGGGCAGTTTCGGGACCTACTCAGTCTTTCCGCCAAAGCAATCATAGATCCTTCTTGATCCATTCGAAACGTCACGGCTTTGCCTACCAGTCCCATCTCACGCAGCACTCTGTTGATGTTAGCAAGCAATTGTGGATCTTCGAGGTTCGGTGCGGGCAGACTGACAGTATACCTGGAACCCAGGTGCGTCATCAACAGGACTCTTAGCTTGCCGAAAAAGAAAAAATCAAGACCAACAGTCTGATTCTCTTTTTGAAGACGTCGACGCAAGCGACGCGCGGGGACACGACCCTTCGACGAACAGCATGAGTCACAGTTGGAATCATAAGGGAAATGGCCTTGAGCACGATGATGATACAAGGCGGTTGAGGACAACGGAATCCTAAAAGATCCTTCTTCTCCACTGTCCGGTGGTTCCGGTGGATTCTCTGGAGGCTTGGGGGGTCTTTCAGAAACCTCAGAAGGCTCGTAATCGGGACTTGACGGTGACGGAACCCCTTCGGGGACCCTTGAAGACGAAGACCCGGGCTCCCCACCACGAGGAGCTTCCAAATCAAAGGGCTCAGCTTTAGTCCCTTGTCCCGGCACTGGCAGTCCTCTGTGCATCATCCGCAGATGACACACTAATGGACTGCTCGCCGGCGGGCTCTCATCATTGCCCTCTTCAACAAGATCAAGCACACCAAGCCAAGCACAAACACTCCCAAGCACACTGCAAGCCTTGCAAAACAACATGCTCAACATGCAACGTGTACGTGTTTGGGGTTTTGGGGCCTTCCTATGCAAGACAAACTGCTTGTAGCTAGGCACTCGGACCCAGTGGTCCCCACAGAAGATCCTAACACTGCAGCCCTTCCTGCGCGGCCTCACTCTAAAGACCTTCCGATCCTTTTCTCCAACGGAACACCGTTTACACTCGACAAACAAAATGTGGAACCCCCAAAACACTCGACCACCCAAGAGACTGCAGAAGCCCAAGACGGCCACGATGGCCATGACATCCAGTCCTGGCCCAAGACCATTCCTGTATAGGCTGGCGGTGGTTCGGTTGGGGTTGAAGTCAAGGTTCGGGATTTGGTGCGTTTCAAAGGGGTTTCGGGCACAAGCAAGCTCAAGCTCAAGCAATCCAAGCGGCAATCCAAGCGGCAAAGCAAGCTCAAACAACTCATGCTTCACATGTGTTTCAAGAAAACGAAACCACGCACTCACATCCTTGTTTTCTTCTCGAAAGGAAATTCGGTGCGCCGCGTAGGCGTAGTCCAGGACTCCATCCCGAACAGAAAAGAAAGCTATGATACATTCCAAGCCGGGCCCACGGCTCCAAATCCCCTTCAGCCCTTCTTGATCGTCTCTTTTGCGGCAGCCACCACCGCATCGAAGCTGGGGACATTCCCCGAGCTGCTGGAAGATGGGGCTCCCGATTCGGGAACCGTTGGCATGGAGGGCCCCGAAGCGGGGCGTGGCATCGCCTTTACCGCCGGTGGCGGCGGCGGAAGAACGAACGAGCGCTCCGTGCCCGTCTGTCCAAGACCAAGAAGAAGGCGGCCGATGGAATCCCCAGGTGGGGCTGTTGAAGCCGGAGAAGGTGGCTCCAGGGGCATATCCCCGTCGTCGTGGTGGCCCGGAGTTGCAGCCGAAGTTTCCGGAACCATTGGTGGAGCTGGAGGATCTCGACCACCCATTCCTGCTTGCTTCACCATCGGTGGTGGTGCCGTCTCTGGCGTAGGGAGGCAAAGGGCCTCTTGGACTGAGATATTGTCCTCCCGGCACTTCAAGCAAAATTTCAGCGCCTCTTCGGGGCCTTCGCCATGGAGATCTTCGTCGGCCGAAATGGAGGTGGAGCTCGAATCGTCTGATGTAGACCCACCAGGACCAGCACGGGCCTTCGGCTTCAACCTCCTGCGCGAATCTCGCGCGGCCCTGCGGGCATTGCTGGCCTCCTTCGACTGTAATGCAGCATCCGTTCGAAGCCTCAAACTCGTAGTGAGCTCGCCCCACGCGACACGTTCGTCGCGATACCGCGTAAAGCGCGGTCCCTCGAAGAGACGCGGCTCGTGAAGGGCCAACAACGGGCGTTCCCCCGCCTTTGCACTGATAAAGGCGCGCAAGCAGATGAGGAGCCGCTGAAGATACCCCATTGCGCTTATGGCGCATTCGCGCTCTCGGCGATCGTTGCGCCCTCCAGCGCCCTTGGTAACGACGCCCAGCCTGTCCATGGCTGACAGGACGTCGTGGGGCCTCAGCCCCCATTCGAAGAGGCCTTTGCCTTGGAGTAGAAGATGGAGGCGCTCTTCTGCAGCCAAGTCTTGATCCACAGTGGAGGTGGCCACCTCCCGAAATCTTTTGGGACGGCGACCTTCTTCTTGCACAGGTTCGGGAAGTACCTGTGGTGGATGTGGACCTTCCGGAAACCGCGGAAGCACCGAGTGCCACGGAGTCGGGGCTGCATATTCGCTGGGACGAACCAAAGTTGCAGACCCACCAAAGATCTGGCGAGTAATCGCCGGAGACCCCAGATGCTGCGCCACATAGGCCTCGCCTATGGTCCCGGCCATGGCGAGGGAATCGTCTGCTGGGGGCCCATAATCATGGGAAAGCTGGGGCATTGGTTCCCCAGGCTCGGGGTACAAATGGACCCCAAGCTCGGCAGCCTCGGCAATCCTCCTCCTCATATCGAAAAGCAAAGCATGATGCAAGGCCGTCAGGCGTTGTCCCGGAATGGATGGTGGCTGCGTGGTGTCCACCGGAGTAATCCTCGGCACATCGGAATCTCCAATCTCCACGGGGTCCGCCGCAATGGGGCGCCAATGCCCCCAATTCTCGGAGTCGGTACCCGATCCGGAGGACGGAAAAGAACTTCCCCCGAGGAAGCCGCTGATGGAACCTCTTTCTCTCCAATTGGCTCCTGGACCGTCACCTCCTCCAGCGACGGGCCCACCATTGGCGAAACACTCGCCTCTCCACCAACTGGGTCCTCTATCGCAGGCCCAGAGGTTTGAGAGCCACCCATCATGGAGCGTATTGCTCTCCGAGCAACAAAAGCAAAAGGCTACTAGAACCAAAACACTCAGAGCTCCGGATCTGTTCCTTCGTGCGCTTCCGAAAGGCGCTCCAATCCCTTGCATAAGCGAAAAACACCCCATGAAAAACATGACGCACCCACGCAAAGCAAGCTCCAAAGCATGTATCTTCCCAAGGTTCCAAAGCAACATGCTCAAGCAATTCAATCCAAGCTCAAAAATCAAGCGCAAGTGCAAGCCAAACATGTCATGCTGCTTCCTAATCAAGGTCAAGCCACACATGTCATGCTGCTTCCTAAGATTTTTGTCGAAAACAAGCTCTTCTTGAGGACTTTCTGGACCACTTGAGGGAACTTTGGGCTTTCCCAGAGGACTTTCGGGAGTGAAGATCTCAGACCTAAACCCTCGAAGGAGAAACGAAAACGGAGTTGAAGACAAAGCGTGTCGGCCACACTGACCATCATCGAGCTCATCGACCTTATGCAGGCTCTTTCCTCCTTTCTTCAAGATGCTCCTGGGAGCGGTCCGCTGTCCTGAGGGGATAGGAACCTCAGATCCTGGCACAACAGTGTCCTTCAGTGAATCAAGTTCCATGTCTTTAGGCCCCTCCGCCCCTTTCTTGGAGGAGGCTTTAGACTTCTTTCCCCCACTAAACGCCCACCAGGCCCGATTGTGACCAACCAACTTGATACTCTTCTTGTTCCCTTTGTACATTCGGGACCCCGTTTTGGACAGATAGGTCTTCCAACCCAATTCCGCCCCACACCATGGAGAGAGGACGTTAAACCCGACATCAGCCACCAACACCTCCCCGAGTCTCAGAAGAACATCACCGAAGTAGACTTCGATATCGACCACAGACGAAACGTCGATCGAACCTCCAGAGGCGTTGAACAGACTGGCTGCCTTGTCGTGTGTCTTCACCACACGAAATCCTGAGATAAACTGGTTGGAAACTATGTGGCACGTAGCCCCACTATCAACCAACCAAACATCCCTCGGGCTAACCCCTAGGTGCGAGCACATCTGAGAGAGGTTTCCTCTTTGAGAAAACTTCGAGCCTAAGGCTCCCATTGAATCTCCAACTACGGTGCCTGCCGGCTTCACCTCTTCAGGCGCGTTCAGAACACGAGGAGGAAGAGAAGGTTCGGCCGAAGCTTCCCGCACTCCAGAAAAACCCAAAGCCATCAAGGTGGCTTCCCCAGAGTCTGCTTCCGATTCGGGCTCACCCAAGTAACGGCCTTTCCCTTTTCCTTTCTTCTTCTTCGACTTCTCCTTGCCCTTTCCGCGCCCTTTGGGGCTCTTGTCCCCGTGCTCGCTCCGAGGAGTTCCACCTCCCCGCGGCGTTCCTCCACCTTTGGGAGTTCCCCCACCTTTGGGATTTCGGTCCCCTTTTCCTTTGTCTTTCGATCCTTTCCATGGTCGCCCTTGCCTTTGTCCGGACTTCCACCACCACGGGCCTTCTCATCCCTTTGCTTCTGCCAGCATTTCTCGGCTTGGTGTCCCCGTTTCCCGCAGTAATCACACAAAGTGTCACTGAGGGATCGAGACGTTCCACCTGGAGCCTCACATAGTCGAAGCTGTTCTTCGTAGTACTTCAGACTGCTGCACAATGAGTTCCAGTCGTTGCTCTTCCCATGCAAGACAACGTATTGACGAAGCTCGGTATTCACCGCTTGCAAAAGGATACTGCACCGATCAGCCTCTGACAGAAGAAGTTCAGGGAAATTCGACAGCTTTGCCTCAGACCGAGAAAACTCATCTTCAAGGTGCCTAATGAGGTCAGTAGGCCGCCGAATATGTTGGCACGTGTGCTGCAACTTCAAACACTGGTCACGCACGAAGACGGCTTCCATGCGGGATACTATGCTGTACTGCTGTGTGATGGTGCGCATGGCCTCGTACCCACAGGCACTCAAAGCCTGTCGCTTCGAGCAAGAGCGTAGCAACTCCAGACCCCTTTCCCACTTTGCCAGGGCTTGGGTCAGGTAGTAAAACAGCTTAGCGCTCCGCGCTGCAACTTCCACACTGAGATCCTTCTGGAGTATCTCGTGTTTCACCTTCACACACAGCTGAAGCTCCCGAACGAAAGACTCGTCTTGCAAAGCCAACCACGAGCTCAAAGTCTCCACATAGCCATGCCACGTTTCCACTTCTCGCATGCGTCCTTTGCTCATGCCTTGATGCTCCAGCAATGGCAAAGGCGGTAGGTACTTCTCCGCTCGGTTCTGAAGAGTGGACCCACCACTAAAAGAAGTAGACGAAGACGACCCCGTCGCTGCTGTGGCACCAGGTCCCGAAAACGGGTCTGCAGTCTTGGCTTTAGCTGCAGCTTCAGCAACCAACTTAGCAGTCTCAGCTGCCTTCTCTTCGGCCTCGTTTCGGCGTTTCTCCTCTAAGTCCATGCGTCTCATGAGAGCAGCTATCAACTGCTGATTCTGTTGAGTAGCCTGCCCTTGCTGACGCAAGAGCTCAAGTGTAGACTGGTTCTGCTGACGTAGCATTTCCAACACGATGGCTTGAAACCCAGTCTCGGTTCCTCCACCGCTGGCTGTGGGCAAAGTTCTCCCTGCCTGACTGCCCGCTGGTGAAGCCTGCGCTTGAGCAGGAGTTGCCGGAGGGGACTCAAAGGGGTTCGGTGCTTCCTGAGGTCGCGAAGTTGTCTGGCCTGCTTGACCAAACAGCAAAGCCTCTTCTTCAGGACTCACGTCCGGTACCGGCACCTGAGAAGGGTCCGGAGCTTGGGCGGCCATGGTCTCTACTGGAACGTCCTCAGACGCTCCGCTACCATGTGAAAAACGCAGAGCTCTTTTTCACTCCACGCTTGAGCCAAAACACCCAGAGGTGTTCGGCAAGTCTCTCGCAGAGTCAGCGCAGCTTCACTTTCGTGAATTCCATCTCAACTTTGTTAAACAAAGGAGGAACACATGCAAACGTCCTAGTGCTTCTCAGGACTTCAATGCTTCAGCAAAACAAGCATACAAGTGCACAGCCACTCTGCTCGAACCTCAGTACGACGACACGAGCGAAGCGAGGGTCGGCCGCCAAGGTTTGAAGAGCAAACTCAGAGCAACACGCACTTCTTCAAGGATGCTCCTAAAGCATCTCGAGTGCTTCTCTGCTCATCATGCACACTCCAAGCATCTCACGTCAAGCTCAAAGCAAGAAACACTTTCAAGCCAAGCTCCAAACATGCTATGTCCATGCCTGCTTCTGCTAACACCAAACAAACGGTTCAAGCACAGTTCTCAACTCATGCAATGCAAACTCGTGGTTCATGTCACATGTGCAAGACATCCTGTCAACTGTAAAGGCACTCACAAGGAAGTCAAAAACTTTCACAGCCTAACCACCATGGGGCATACGCACGTCTTTCCTCTCCTTTGGGGACCATCCCTTTGCCAATGCGACCGTGATCTGTCCTTGACGACGAGCACTGGACTGGAGCCTGACTATCGATGATAACCTTGTTCACGTCGCACCAGCAGCTACATGATGGTGATTTTGAAGATCTGGCAGTGTCGCAATTTGCGACTCCCCGCATGCTCATGCTGTATGATTGCACCGGAACTTTAACAACAACTTCGAGTACTAAGTGCGTGGGGTTTCCTAGTAGTTTCGGCGCCTTTGCTTGGTTTATTGCTTCTGTTTTCTTGTTTTTTGGGTGGTTGCGTGGTGTTCTTGGTGGTTTGCGCGCTGACTTCGTTCACCCGCTACGTGTCAAGTCCAACAAGACCGACCTACTGTGCTACTGATGTAGTAAAGGGGCGCCAGTCCACAAAGAAAAAAAAGGAGTAGTATCGCTGTTAGCATCATGCAGCTGACTGGAACTATCTCCATTCAAGCACGTGTGAATGCCAATGCAAAGTCTTCGAAAATGTTTGAGATTGCTTTCCAGCTCATCCACCGCTGTTGGCGAAAAAGGATTGTCCCTCCAGTTAGGGGAGGTTGACGGATGTCTGCCTCGTGTGGCAACAAATGGGGGTTACAAACTCTGCGCGCTATGGACTCTGTGTGTTGCATGGCACAATGTGCTCGCCAGTCACCTTGGTAAGTCGTGTATTATGCAGAATTGCATCTACCACCTTGGGCAGCTATAGCTGCATGCTCAAATACACAACTGACTTTTGCTGTCCCTTTAGTCATTTTCGTGATTGGCCAGTCGGCACGGTATTTGTTGCAAGTTGCATTCCCTTCGTTTGAGCAAATGGTGGAGGCGCATCCGGTTTTGGTGAGTCCTACCATAGTAGGCGCCTCTGTCCAATCAATCCGCTTGATGGAGTCTCCCCCCTCAATCTGATGATCGACCTCATGTTGCCCTGCAAATATTAACTGTGCAACACATGCGGCAACGGAGTGGTTACCTCGAGACTCGAGCTTTTGTGCTTTGTAATGAACAGAGCTTTGTAGCTGACGTCTGCACTAAAATTCAAACCGCCTTCCCTCCCAATGCAAGAGTCCCCTTGGTCGGCCCGGAAAGCAGCCCCTCGCTGCAGCGCTAAGGTACAGTGGCCTTGTTGCCAACCTCACCCTTGTGCGTGCCACACAGGACCAAGGCTGCAGGGTCCAAATTGTCTGGTGCGTTGCTCCCTTTCGACAAGAAGTTCTGGAAGGGAATACCCTGCGCCTTACCATTGAATTGTTGTGTGACATGTGCCCAACTTGCCTCCAACCTGATCTACTGGGGTTATTCGCCACCTCGCAACGTCGCCTCTTGGCTGTGCCCTTGTGGATTGGCCTGCAGGCACCGTTCACTGTGTGTGGCCTCTTGGCTGTAAGAGCTGCACACCCACCAGTCCACTATGGATGACCCTCTTGGAATCTCACGCTCGTTGCCAGTGAAAAAGCTGCTGACGTAAACTCGAACCCACGGTGTGCATGTAGATAACGTCAGGGTCATCCAGGGAGAAAGCCTGAAAAATGATGGTCAAGTACGTGCAGGTGATGAGGGAACGCAGTGGATACCTTGAGTGCCGCTCCTTTGTTCTTTCCGACTCCCAGGATGCCGTTGCAAGTCCTGCTGCGGCCGTGCGCAGACCTTTCGAACCCCAAGGGCTTTTTTGCCTTGGAAGTCTGGTTGATTGCCTTCGTTTTCCAATCTTTGACCAAATGCTTGAGTGGTATAGCAATTTGGGTGCCGTGCAGTGCTGGCTCAGTCAAGTTAGCGGGTCAAAAGGTAGTCCGCTGTTCCTGCTTGGAAGGACACTTCTAGCGTGGCTGAGGTAACGAGCCCCCATAATAGAGCGCCTCGTTCCTCTCGCATCCAGGAGCGACGTGAGGGAGGCGATTGTAGCAACATCCCAACGTTGATTGATGTTGTCGCCACAGGTACATCTGTATGAGCTCCGAGAGACCTTCCCGCGGTTCAATGATTAACCACAGGCTCAAGCACACAGTGCACACATTAAAGAGGATACAGCGCAAAGCATCCACTGGACAATCGTGAGGTGCATAAGCAACATTATGTTGTTTCCCTTCCTTCTGTGTGACAGCGAAAGTTGCTGCAGTCTGCCGACGCTGGGGCTGCATCATAGGTGCCTGGGCCTCACGTAGGCGCTATGTGACCTCCGCGTCAGCCTTCCCCAGTACCCAGCGCGTAGTAAGTATCACGCGAGTAAATTGCACCCACCTCTCGCTCAGGCTTCATGTAACGGAGCTGATGGACCTTGGGGTTGCGCAAATGCGGAATAATGCCATACTCTTCCCCTCCCCAAGCCAATTTAGGATCCAGGCCACTGGGCAAGTCGAGGAGGATGTTTGAATTTCTTCCTGCCACGTGAGGGCCCGCACTCACACGGCGGCACTGAGGGAGCTTTTTGTTCTATTGATTCAGAGTGTAGACATGGACTCCACTTCCTGCAAAGAGGCATGCACTGCCGCGTTTGTTTGACGAGCAATGAGCCCTCACCGACGTGATCCCTGCTCTTAGCAGTGCAAGTGGCTCAGTGATCTTTAGGTGGCTTTCGAGGGCTCTTAACGGATGTCCGCGAGGGGCCAACTAACAGGGGAGGGATCGAGGAGGTGGTCAGGGTACGTGAGTGCGCCCGCACCCACACGCCCTGCGTCCCCTCTTGAGTTGGCAGTTTTGTGCCTGCGTGGAAAGATTGACCATGTCCATATGTTTGAAGATTAGGAGTTGAGTGATAGGCAGCTACAAGCCTGCTCTTGCCTTTCCTATGCTGCAGGGCTCAATGGAGCAGGCGCGACTGCCCCTTTTGGACGTAGTACGACATTCAGCATGGCTTCTTCGTTGGTCATCGGCGGCAGCCTTTACACTGCTGTCAGCGGCGGAGGAGACAGTGACTGGGAACGATGCTATCCTTATGAGCACTCTGAGCTCTTTTCCGGCGAACCCATCCTTGAAGGCAATAGCTACACCTGTAGCGCTGGATGGATAGCGCTCACCAAGCTCTTGGTTCTGCAGGGAATCCGCGACACCCTGGCGGCCCAAGGACTCCCTACCCAACGGGCCATCGCTGCTGTAGCAGCGGCCGAACTTGCGCACTCAGTAGGTGGTCATCTAGCCTGGCTAGCACATCACCTACGGGACCTCTCACAAGATTTGCAAAATGCATTGGCCAAGGAATACGGGGCACTACTGGCCATGTTTAGGCGCCCGCCCGGACCGCAACAGAACGCCGTTTTGGCCTGGGCAAGGCCCATCATCGTGCACAGCCAGGCGGATTATCCCCTTTACCTGATCAGGGCGCATTTGGAGCAGCACCTTTTACTGGCGTGGCGTTTCACCGCTGATAAAGTTGATGTGCTCTTGCAGGCAGTGTCTGATGCAGTTCCCCACGATCATGCCATCATCCTGGAGTGGGTAGCGTGTTTCCTTGATGAACGCATTGCTACTGACATCCTTGAGCATCTAGATGAGGAGACCATGCATATGCTCGAGGATGATGGGCATTCGGGTAGTGACTCTTAGCCCCGAATTTTGTGCGAAGATGGAACAAATGGCAGCGCGACCTTCCTGCATTTCCCTCCTCCACAGACAAAGGGTGATGAAGTAGAGTAAGCAATGTTGTCTTGCCTGATCTAGTGAGTTGCGAGCATTGATTGCATCTTCACTGTAGTTGCAGCCTCCCTTAGCATGGGCAGACGGTCAGGAAGCGGCGTGAGCAAGTTGGCCGACGTGTGCAATGGCTTCGCGCTGGACTTCATGGCTCTCAGGTAAGGCTGCCCAGTCTTCCTCTCCTCTGCCCCTTCTTGACCGGGTAGGTTGTTGCGTGTGTATGGGCCCAGTGCGTCTTCCCTCCTTGTTACCGGCTCCGACCAACGAGGCCACACAAATCCTGGTTTACGGCGGACGCCATGATGTGGAAACTTTCCAACGCAACCTTCGGCACGGCCACTCGGTGCGTGCTGCTGGCGGACCATATTGCGCTTCCAGAGTAGTCGTATGGGCAGGGTAGAGGTTGCCTTTCTTTTTCCTTCAATTGATTACGCTCGCTGGCACCTGCGCTGCCGCTACAAACAAACCGCCATTCGAGGTATGCTTGCATTCGAGGGCTCTACCGGTATGTGCGTCTGGGCTCGCATTGGCTCAAAATGGAGGTGGTTAGATTATTTGTTGCTGGCATGCCATGACTCTTTCTTGTTGTTTTGTTTCCGTTTCTGTGATTGGTGTTGCCTCCGGTGCTGATTGTTGCCCAACTACGTTTCTTGAAACTGTCTAGGTTGCCACTCTTGACAGCAGGTTAGGCCACGTTCGGTGATTGCAGCCATGGAGTCCTATGCGTGTCAACCT